CATATGCGCAAAGACTACGAGGCAGTTGTCCACCCTTCTAGCCCCAATCAGAGCACCATATAACCGTTAGGAACAGCCCGGCTGACTTCGTTAGGACTGGTTGGAATTTCACCAGTGGGTTGTGCTTTACTCATGTGCCAAAAGTAGTTGCATTTGTGTCACTTGATTTTTTGGACGATGGCCCTGCCCGTCACAGCGGCAAAGGATTTCATTTCAGGACCACGCGTCGCACAGGCGGAAAGGGAAAAGGGAAACCGAAGGCCACGGCGGCACGGGGTTGTTTGTCGTAGTCGGCCGCGCTGGACCTCTGGTGCTGTGACAGTGGGGGAAAAACAATGCAAATAGACAAATCAATTTGCAAAGAACGGTCGTGAATTTCAAGAAATTGCCAATACTTGGAAAGAACGATAGGCCCCCACAAAATTTCATATATAAACTGTAAACATATACTTCAGTTTTTGTTCAGCGATATTAACATTGTGGATAACCCTGCAAAGTGCGGTAGGCCCCTCAAAAACGTTTCACCTTGCTGAATCGTTCATTGATGGACAGCATGTTTTTGGCGGACGCTCATATGATGTCACAGCACTTCGTATTTTTTAAGTTTCATGTTGAAAGCTACGGCAACATGATATGCAATGCCAAGGCTGCCCGCAAACTTCTGGATTCGTGTCCCTTGCCGCAGCTTTGTGAGGCCGTTGTCAGCTCTTTTGATGTAATTAATCCTTTGGTCAGCGGGTTGCACGCATGACTGGGCCGAGCAAATTCGCCACGACCCACTACTTGTTGCAAAGGCCTTGGCCACCGCTTCAGCAGAGGATGCTGAGCCAAAATGCCCAGACCGTGTTTCAGAGCGCCACCAATAATCATTGTAAACGGTCCACGCAAGCACGTGCATTGCAAGGTGCCACTCAAAATGTGTAGTTTTGAGTTTTCTGTGGTACAGTATGGGTATTGCGACTCCCACTGCGTCACCATGGACATTCTTAATTCAATCGGCTGATGCCATGCTATATGCCAAGCTAAGGCCGTTGGTTTCCGCGTTGGAAGGGCTGAGCGAGATTGAAGAGGCCACTGCCTCATCCAGCTGCATTATGGCAGGCGTGAGTTATCATGTGTAGTCATTTGTTGTCAGCAGGTTGAGTGTTTTTTAGCATGTGTTGGTGTGTCATTATGTTCTGGCCCATCTAGCTGACATGCCACAAACCGTTCAATATTGAGGTGAGGGCCTTGTTCTTGGGCGATGGCGTTGCCGACTTTCTGACCAGGGGAGCTTCAGCAACAGAACCACGGGTTTGACTCTCAGCATGTCCGTGCCAGCTGTTGAAACGTCCATTTCGAGGTTGTATAGGAACCCCGTGCCTCGCAGTGTACTTTTTGCAGACTCCTAGGTTTGGGAATTTTATATACAAGTAAACAAGAACCACGTTGGCTGCTTGATTTTTGTTGAGAGAGTGTACTCTGTGAGAACGACAACGAAATCGTGACCTTAGTATTGCGTTTTCCGGAACAATGTTTTTCCACAGGGTTTTTGCACAACCTCAGTTGAAATTCTACTGAGAGGTTGTAGGGCCGGTTCCAATTTGTTTTCAGGTTTTCAATTGTTTTGGTTGCATGCGGCGGGCGGTGCAAGTTCATGTCACTTTCGTTTCCAGATAGCATCAGATCCTGAACTTCTGTCAGGAAACGAAAGCACCAACCAGCAAATGTGCAACTACCCTTTGACAACATATGTATGAAAGAACAACTAATTACGCAACTACCAGGTCTTTGCAGCCACTGCCGGTGGCCCAGTGGCCGCTTTTCAAAACCAAAAGTTCCGCTCAGTTGCGGCTGACCGTGGCCAAGCTGCTGGCCCACTTGGCGTCAGGTGGAGAGGCCAGGGATAACTGAGGGTGTCCGTGAGCAAACTTATAAGATTTTGCTGCAAATTGTTCACCATAATGTGGCCAAATACGAGCAGCACAACGTAGAACAATGTAGAACAAGGGTTCCCATTACAAGCATAAATCGTCTCCAGAAACGGCGGGCATACACAAAACAGACCCGCATCTTAGACACTCTGGAGGAAACGGCAAGGCCTTGTTGTACAAAAACTATGGAATATAAATATGATCAGATTCTTTGCTGACAGCCGGCTTGCTACAAAGTTAAGTATAATGTTTGGATGGTGACACACAACCAAACAAAACACGAGTTCTCTCGACTTTGTGGGCAGTGTTTGATGAACTAGGTGGTTTGGCTACTTATGCACCTACCGTGCACTGTTGCAGGCCTCTGTGGGCAGGTTGCTTGATGCAGGCCTTTTCAACTTGTGTGGCACCCTCAGCACTGAGGGCTATTGAGAGGCACCCACCCAATATGGTAAGGAGGGCCGTTGGACCATTTTGGTCATTGAACCAGGGCAGCATCAGCATCGGCTGGAAATTGTCCATGTCCATGAAACACCGTGGAAACGATGTTGTTTGGGTCAGCTGCTCAGGTGAACCCTTACTGTTGGATGAAGAGACGGGTGTAGCTGAGACGGCAGCCAAGGCAGCACAAAACTCAGATGTTCAGGGTTTTATGATGCTTTATGCAAGGGGAATCTAAGGTTTTAAGAATGTTATCAGTGATCAGTGATGAATATCAAATGTTACCTTGGCTATATGAGTCTCAAAGGTCCGTGCTGGAGTTGCAGTCCCTCCCGGGCAGCAGGCTCTGTGGATTATGACATACTAGAGACCTTTACATCCAAGCGTTGGACAAATCGCGAAAGGTAGCTTGAGCTACCTGAGTTCTCCTTGCTTTAGCAAAAATGTATTACAATCAGGAGTTGGGATTGTGCATTGAATTTGGTCCTGTAAGAGTTGATTCTGTTCGTCGGGGGGGGGGGGCCCTGGATCAAATCCCCCCTGCGCCGGTTCACGCCGTCATGGACTTTTACCAGGGTTGCTTGTGATTGCCTGCTGCCTTTCGTTCACCCCCTCCTCTCTCAAGTTATGACCGACAATGATGTGAACATATGTGAACCATCAAATCAGTGACTTTGAAGATTTTAAAGCTCCTGCCTGTTGTGCCAGGCGCTTGTTGCCTCTTCTGGAAGCTTGACGGCCAGCTTTGCGACTTTTTCTCCAGTGGTGCAGGGATCAGGGACCGGACCACAGAAATAGTATGAACTTAAAATACTAGAGCATCATAGAGCATGCAGAGGGCGACTATAGTCCTAAACCTTCGAGATGTCAAGATTGATTTAATGATCTTCTTTGACAGGAAGTATTGCTTCGACGTCTCCCTGAGTTGCCTGATGCGGGAGCCCCGGTGCTGAGCACTCTGGGGTTTGGAAAACAATTTGGATTAATTTAATGCGACCTTGGTTGCGTTTCCGTGTAAATATGTGTCAGCTCTAGGTGCAACGGATCCGCGTTTTGGCTCTTTTCGTCCAGCTTGGCCGAGTCGCAGAGATCTTCCCATTGCCACTTGGCCGGGTTTTGAGTTCGAAGGGCCGCCAGGTGAGTTGAATTGGACAACGGGTGAAAAGGGTCAAGCAAGATGAGCTAAGTGGCTCTTGTGCAGGTCGGCTCGTTAAGCAAAGAAGAATGTCGCAAGGTTCATATTCTAATATTATATCAACAGGTTTTTGCATGGTTGTTTGGGTTTAGAAGACTTCAGAGCTCTTTGTGCTAGCAGATGGCAGCAAAGCAATCTCCTTGCAGGCTCTGATAGGGCAATACCGGACTGTACATTCAAAAGGCCGCCATGAGACATTGTGATTACTGTAAATCGGGCACCTAAAGCCTGTGACATCTTGTGACAAGATAAGGTTGGAGCAGCAAGGGGCATTCGAGAAGGCCAAAATCTGTGTCAGATATTTGCAGTTTTGATGGCAGCCGTCAGATATTTGCAGTTTTGATGGCAGCCGGTTTCTAGATGGGATCACGAAAGCGAGCTCAGCGGAAGTTGTTGTTACGAAATGTGGTGAGGCTAAAGATTGAAAGGTTCAGTGAACCAATTGATTCTTTCAATCAAAGGGAGGGGTCATCCGAGGTGGGGGGGCCCCCCTCCCCTCCCTTTTTATTGATTCTTTCAAATACCACCCCCTCCCTCGCAAAAGAATTGATATGTCAATTGAACGATTGAAACGTCTAAGGGCCCCCCTGCAAAAAGAATTGAAATGGACACGACATCACAAACATCCCCAGGGGATTTTTAAGGTGTTCTCACATTCGTCGTTGTCATCGCTTTCGTTCCCCGCCTCTCAAGTCATTGTTGTTGACACCTTGCCAACCCGTTGAGTTTACAAGTTTACCAGCATTTGTGCTTCTCCACATTGGGCGCGCTCACAGTGGCGGATGGCTTGACTGTCAGTCCCGTAGGCAGATAGAGAGAGAGAGAGAGAGTGCAAATACCGGCAAGTCGTGAACACAAGGTCACAAGGTCTTGAGCAAACACATGTGCGCACAAGGACAGAGATATACAGAGATATGATACACACACATATATATATATTTATACACACATATTTATATATATAGCGATATGTGTATATATACACAATAGTAGAATAAGACTATTCGGGTGTTACACACATATTTATATATATAGCGATATGTATATATATATATACACAATAGTAGAATAAGACTATTCGGGTGTAGCAGCAGCAGCAGCAGGAGTAGAAGTAGTAGTAGTAGTAGCAGCGGCAGTAGTGTTAGTATTAGTAGTATTAGTATATACATAGTAGTGTGTTTGTTGCCGCTCCCGCACGTATTTTATGAAAAGGTGCTGGGTTCCTTCTTGACTGACGACCTGCTGTTGAAGCTTAATGCTGTTGAGCTCATGGATGCGCTGGGGCCACAGATACTGTAGTTTCACGACACATTTGGTTTGCTTCGTGGCGCATTGTCGCTGGCTTCATAAACCGCAGAACCGAAGAGCAGGGTCAAACAACGCAATGGGGAGGGGGGAGGTTCCCCGCATGGTCTATGAGGTCGGGACATTTTTCACAATGTTTCGTGGCCAGCTTTGGCTCAAGATTCCGGTCGAGCCGAGCAACGATGAACTCGCCTCTATCTAGCAGCGACTCCGTATGGCGAAGCATGGCGGTGAAAAGCGATACAGGACTAGAGCTAAGATCCGAGTCTGATCTCTACATGAAAGGCCTGGCAGCTCTCCAATCCGTGTTCCAAGCTACTAGATGTTTATAGTCATAGTTCTAATATTGTCTTATGTTACTTATGTTAAATGATCTTATATAAGTATGACATGATGGAATCATCATTATGAAAGCACATTTGAGAATGGTGATGAGCTCTTCATAGAGGTCGTTATCAAGCATGCTTGGAAGTTTGGCGTCCCCAGGCAAGATCAGCCGCCTGAAGGAGTTCTATTTACGCAGGCTTTCGCAAAGCGATACTGCTGCAGTTGCACGGCTCCGGGCAAGGTCACCAAGGTCAAACTTGGGGAGCCCCCGCCAGCTGAGTCCAAGACAGACGCCCAGGACGGGTCTCAACGAGACACTAATTGAAACACACTAAAGGCAGTTGAACCTCCAATTCGCAAAGAAACCAATTGGCAGGAGCTTGGATGCTGAACTTACCGAGGCAATCTACGAGAAACAGACGAACAGCAACAGCAAGGTTGGCTGACATGAGTTTCTCTGGACCGGGCTTTGTCAGAGTGAAATGGCAAGAGACATGCAATCCAATATGCTTCAGTTTCAGACTGTGAGTCGAGTTCAACGCCGCATCAGTGTTGGGTGCCGCAGAGCCATTTTACTGGGAATGTGCCATGCGCTATTTGTTCAATAATGGTCGATTGTTAAGACAATTTTTAGCTGTTTTGTGATGCAAAGCAGAGGCAATTTTGGGGTGACTTGAGCTGAGCATTAGCAGAGGCAAGTTCAAGGGCCCACGGTACAGGTGAAGCCTTCTACGTAAGCAGCTAAGATTGCTGCCATTGCCATCTCGTCCACTCTTGCTGCTGTGGAAGTGTTGCAGCCTTGCAGACACCCTCAAGTACAGAGTAGTCCAGTTATTGGTGCCCAAAACTAAGACCCTGGTGTCCGGGTGTTGCTCAAGGATTTTCTTGGGGCACAAGATCAATAGATGTGATCAAATGTAGCTTGACATACTGTAGAGTATACAAATTAATCATAATGTGCATTGGTGTGATGTGCAAGCCACTGACAGTGGGCAGAAATTAGACAGACCAAGGAACACGCATTACATATCCACTTTGTTTTGAAAACAACAGCCCTTCACTTCACGCCAGGCGGCTTTGTCGCCTGCTACCATGGAGAAGCTGGGGTGGCATGATCGCAAGATGGCACAATCAGACATAGTAATATGCATCAGACGCCATGCCAAACCTTAATGTTGGCATGATGCTGGGCATTGAACTCAGGTCAAAAGTAGGGCCGCACATTGAAATGCTTAATGCCAAGCTCATCAGCTTGCGTGCAGCTCTGGAGAGCAGGACAGTGTGCTGTAAGTAAGTGTAAGTTTGTGCTTGATAGACTCAGACATTGAGCGGCCAGTCGGGATCGCAGCAACAATTTATATTTGCACAAGGCAGTTTAATATCGGAGGGGTGGACTCTCGCCATACAGCAGGATGAGTATGACCTGGGTTTTGTCATTAACATTGTCAGGATCCTGGATGGAAGCAGTCAGAGCAATGTATTGCGGCATTTGACCCAGCTGAGGCCGTCACCGGATTGGAAAACATACAATAAGGGAAGCTCACAGATTTTGGCAGGGTTTTGTTGGACCAGAGGTCACTATTCATTGGATAGCAGGATCTTGCCAACATGCCACAAGCAATATATAACTGTAGTTGGTTATATCCTATTTGAGAAATGATCAGCTGGAGGGTGGTGTCCTCATGGTGCTTATTTGATTTTATTTGATTAGCTGTCACACCAATTCAGCAGTATTTATGCTGGAAACAGTTACAACGCTGCTGCGACTGGCATGCGACAAACATATCCCTGCTTCTTGGTCTCGCACAGGTATCACCTGGATAATGCATTGAAGTGGGCGCCTGATGCCGCCTTTTCTGGGCCTGCCATTGAACACACAATTCAGCAGGCTTGCTTTAGCAAATCATGTCATGTCAGCGTCGCGGGTATTCCTTCCCACGGTTGCAGGTTCAGCAACTCGCAAGCACAGCTCGTGTGCTTGCACCTGGGGTGTATGTGTTCTCCAAGCGCACGGAGCACATTCTGATCCGGAAGGACAAGTTTGCTAACCAACTGACCCGCAGAAGCTCTTGCAAAGGAATGAACACCGAAAAACACCTGCTTCTGAAAGGGTATCGCAAACACCGAAAGCCAACGTCCCTCAACTGCAAGGAGCGCGCTTTGAAGAAGGCAGCGCAAATTCTTTATGAAGACTATCGAAAGCCCCCGTCATATTCAGAAGCTTTGCCAAAGCGGTAGGAGACTCTAACCGCTTCAGCGAGTTGGGTTCGATGAGATACGCTTGTTGGTTCATTCATGCTCATTCACTCACCATGCGGGCAAAATTGCTTCACACCATTTTGTTTTATTAATTTAGTCTTCCAACTTGACGGACTTTTGCTTAGTGCATGCTGGCCTTAGCCTCGCGGTTGCTGCATCTCCCGTTTGGCTTGCCAAGGATATATTGAAAGGCGACATCAGGATACCCACTTCTAGGACCAGCAAGGCAGAATCCACAGTGGTCAGCGAATTTGATTCTGAATGTGGTACGATGTATGCGGACACAGTGATCACTTGGGATAGCCCCGCTGATGTTGGAAATGTGCCTTGGACAAATACAATACATGTGGACCGATGCGGAGCAGATGCAAGCCCCATGTTCTAATTCTCATTTGTTGCTTGAATTTTGGCTACTGTAACTGCAACCGGTAATGCTTGCCAAGGTGCAGGACGTTAACGAATACTTGGCGTTGAAGAGTGAGGAGAAGCTGTGCAGACGGGTTTGCTTGATGATCTTGATGTTGTTTGCACAAATGATTGCTGTCCCTTGCACGGTGATTTATACAATCAGATTGAAAGTCCAACCCTCCTTCGCTATACCTCTTGGCTATAGGGGGCAGATGGCAAATGACGTGTGTTTTGAGGACCAGCAACGTCGCTGGTTTTACTCTCAGTGCTTGGCTGCAAAGATGGCAGCTGCTGATAAAGCCCGAGCGCGGAAGATTCTCATCTCTGACTTGTACTCCAAGGTCAAGAAGGCGAAAAGAACATTTTGGGAAAGACAGCAGCCAGATGGTAACTGGTTGCCTTCAAACAACACATTCTGTTTGAGTCTCCGGGTTCTTCCACTTGAAGTTGACATATTGGACACCTAAACTCGAAATGCTGTTCTCCAACTGAACAGCGAAGCAGCCACTCCTTTTGCTGGCAAAGAACCAACAATTCACAATTCACAATGGGAAAGCTATACAATTCACAATGGCCATGGGAAAGTCACTTAGTAAGAGTGCTCCTAGTAGCGATGCCTGGAGCCCCTAGTAGCGTCCTTGCTCCTAGTAGTATGGCCAGGAGCCCCTAATAGCTTCTTGTTACTAGTAAGAATGCTTGCAAGCATCCATGATTGAACCTGTGACTTGGGGATGCCCTTTTTTAGCACCCTTTTGCCAACACCTGCATACATTTTCTCAGACATTCTCAGACACTATATAGAGCACGTCATTCAAACTTTGTTCGTGTGCCTGTGCGGTTATACCTGCCAATCTGTTGAGATGTTCATATCTTTGCACATTCCTGGTCATCGTTCCCGTTTGCAGGCCGATGGTCTTCCAATCACCAATTGGATGATGTTCATTCAAGAACAGCTAATGGTTGGCCAACTGTCTCCTGCAGCTGTGAGTTGCGTTCATTGAGTGTTTACTGCTGCGCTCATGCCAGACTCTTTGTGTTTTGGCCTGCAAGCTTAATTAATTAGCTCGAGCTGATCACAAATAACAGCCTTTAGGTTTGCCGTGGAACTGACTTACATTTCCGGTCCGCAGAGATCCTTACTGCTGAGATTACCCGATGCTGCGCAGAAGTCAAGCAAAAGATCCGGGACTTGTTTCGCATCCTTGCTACCCAAAGCATTTTGAGTGATCAACCACAAAGTGTGTGAATGCAATTCTTTGAGGCTTGGATCCTACGAGCTTGGTCAGGAGCCGTTCAAATCGATTGTGCGACGATGTTGCGCAGCATGGCGCACTCCTTCTGCTGCTCGATGACAGATGTTTCTTGCTTTGGTGGGGATGTGACTGGAAACCTGACATGCCCAGGCAGATCCCAGTTTTGCATAGTTTTGCACCATCACGAAGGGGAGGTGATGAAGTGGTGGTTTGCCAATGTTTGTTCCCTGTCCTACCCCTTCCTTCTTTACTCCCAATCAGCCGAGCCCATCCAAAGTCTAGCAACTTGCGACGACTGCCAGGAGTTCCTGGCACGGTCCAATGTTCCGCAGAAGCTCGAGGCTGACTTGCTGGACCCATACTGCGCCTCAAATGCACAGGGGCATCGGCAAATAAAGAAGACATAAGAAGACTATATAAGGAAGTCGTGCGAATCTTAGACACTTTTTGTAGAGAAGCTTGGACACCTGGACTTTGACACCCAGCGAGCCCACTCTCGATGAAGGTTTGTAGCTGCATGTCCAACGCATTGTGAAACAAAGGGCATCGCTACTAGGAGAAAGGACGCTACTAGTAGCTCCTGGCCTTACTACTAGGAACAAGAAGCTACTAGTAGCATTCCCCCTCTAAATAAAGAAGATCCGCCGAGGTGATGGCTCTGTGCGACTTTGCGTCACGAGACTTCTTGGCTTCATTGCAGGTTGGGGAGCTTGGAAAGCTCCGCGAGCTGTGACGGATAACTGTGAGGTGAGGTTTGCAGGTAAGATCAAGTAAACTACGTATATTTAGGTTAAGGAGGTACACCACTAAGCTCAAGTAGCTTCTTAGGCATGGACGCAGAATAGGGCTCGGTCGGGCTTAGTTGGTTTCTATATTGGTGGGGAAACTTAACAACAGAGCATGTGTTTGTGTTGAACTCTTGGCAATATTGCTGAGTGACCCAATGCACAAAGCCATCAGCATGAACTTCTCAGGCCGCAGTGCAGCCGCTGCGGAGCAGCTATTGCGTAGCCATGAGGTGCAGTTTTGCCCTCCACACAAAGAGTCAAGAGTGTGGCCCACAATCCTACCTACTCTTATTGCCTCAGTGGCCACATTTGGACAATGCATGGGCTTGAGCCACCACTGACTGGCAAAGACAGGGAGATGTTGACTATGCATTGTGCGCATTTCTACGCCATTTGGATTTGTGAATGGGATCGCTTGGAGGCCCCTTTTCCGCAGTCCATTGCTGGCTTGCTCGACAGCTTGCGACCAAGGGTTTGTTCTGCGTTTGAATTCTGATTGTGTCAGGGCCTAGTGCCTTTGTGCAATTTGTGCACCTCATTTTGTATGATCCTAAGCGCTCCTGCAGCCCTGGGAAAGTAGATTTGTGCGACCCCAGATGTCTAGGACGGCGGTCCCTGAAGGCCATAACGGAGGTAGGGGATGGAACACAGGAGAAAGAAGGAAAGACAATGACAACGATGATTCTAAGGATGATACTGGTTGAAACATGTCAGAGGAAGATGACCAAATTAAGAGGATACGGGGTGAGAAGAAGGTGGAGACGAGCGGGCAGCTTGGACCGGCCAAGAGACAGCAGCTCCAACAAAAGAAATTGTGTGTATGCTATTGTATGTTTGATATTCTACGTAATATATGTATTAGTCTTCCTATATGTAGTATATGTGCATACATGATATTATATGAGTACTTATACGTTTATGATCATGTATGCGTGCTTTTTTGGTACTGTAGGGTCCTGATTAGTAAAAGGGGGTCCTACCCCCCTCTTAAAAAAGGATCCTCTATAGTAAATTGGCGCCAAAGCACATCTGGGTTCCTGGGAGGATTCCTTTTGTAATTGATTGTAGATGTTGTAGTATTCCTTTCTCAGGTTCTTTGTAATTAGATATTTTCGGCAATCTTGTTATACTACTAAGAGGAGGGCAAAGAAGGTTCTCAGGTTCTTTGCGCCTGCGAAGAAGAACCAGAGAAATCTATACTGACCAATACTCTCAGCAAGCTAGCCATTGGCTTAGTAGTATTGACAGATCTCCGAACGGATTTTAAACCCTAATATTTTTTCTGGTAAAAATTGGATCAAGAAACATTAAGCATAATAGAGGGCCCTTAACATAACCTGGGGTTCAGAATCAATTTTACAAAATTGCATTATAGAGGACCCTTTTACTAATCAGGATCCAACATTAGCTATTTATGCAGATGCGTTGCTCATCCGATCCAAGAAGTTTTTGCCTGGAGGCCGTGATGTTGCAGCCAGGCTGTGTGCCATCCATGCCTGGGCAACCAGCTGAGAGTGCAGCAGGTAGAGAACGGAAGCTAGAGCCAGAGCAGGTACTTTGACCCGTGATTCTCTAGTTCCTCGATGTTCTCGACTCTCAGAATCCTTTTGAGATTTGTTTTTCTTTGCCTTTTGTTGCGTGAAGTGGTGGGGAGCACTGAGGCAACAGCAATGTTGCAGACGAAAGGCCTTGGATTCTTCTTGCGGCCAGACGCTTGGCACGTCCTGCTCTCCAGGTTTGTAATCTGGATTGTGGCAATATTGTTAATGACAGAATGCCAAAATGCCACGGGAGTTTTGACTTGAGGTGGAAACCCATGCTGCAGGCCTTGAAGCATTTTGTTCGGGGTCGAACCACTTGTCTGCCAGATGAGTTAGGGCCAAGATGTGTGCACAGACAATGAGGGATGGCTTATAGCATCGATCATGCTTTGCGAGGAGATGGTGTCACTGATCAGTGCAACCCAGAATGAGATTGCAAAAGGTGCGATGGATGCTTGGGCCATTGTTTTGGAGGTCCGGGGCATGGCCTGGCTTCAAACAGGTTGAGCCCAACCAAGCACAGTTCCCGCGTGCTTTGCTTCAAGCGACCTTGCCTTGTGCCAGGTTAGAGCACCAGAAGATCAAGATGCCACTTGCTTAGATTGTCGATGTGAGGAGCAGAGCCAGCTTGGGATGCGATTCAGTTGTAGCAGAGGCCACAAACAGTCGCAGCTGATTTTCACAAGCCAATTATTTTCTGTTTGGGCTAGGAGAGGGTGCATGCTCCACAGATGCTTTCTTTTGAATCGATGTGTGGTTGTTTGCTGATCTATTCTGCTGGCATACTGGCTGAAGGCACAGCCTCATAGTGGCCAGGTTGAGCTCCACAGCGGCTCTTTAGCCATGGGGTTCACTAAAGCCGTGGCCAAAGAGGCTCCGGAGAGTTACAAACAGTATTACTTGCCCTTCGGCCATATGAGGTTGGTGGGATGAGGATGATGAGGTTGCATATGAATTGGCAGCCTCCATCCTCTCATCGCTCTCATTTCATTTGCGATATGCATCGGATATGCAGCCGCCCTTTTCCTTCCTTGCTTCAAACATTCGGAGTAATTGTCCTTTCCAGTGTAAATATCCTTTCCATTTGCCATGATGCATTTGCCCCCTCTCGTTTGTGCACTCGAATTCTCCAAGGAAATATGACGAGTTGAAAGAACTTGTTGCCACGCTGGCCCGACAAGAGCCAGAGAGAAGGAGCCGGCTAATGACGCTTGGGTGGTGAAATGGCAACTTGCTCTTAGCAACTAATGGCTGCCATGGCCAATCGCAGCAACATTTATTGTAATGGTTCATATGTGGTCCTTGGTCCAAGCTTCGGAAGAAAGACCGGTCCATTAGCACAGCAAAATGGACCAGCAGCCTCTTGCACACTTTGATCACCGCTCTCACGGAATGCCCCCGCTTTCCAACTAGCAATTCTGGGTGATTCTCCTGGAGTTGTGAGCGGATGGTTGTAGCAACCTGATGATTTGGAAGAAATCTGATCAAAACCCATGAAACATCTCATTCCATCCTTGACCTACTTGGATGAGCAAGAAGCATGAACATCTGCAGCATCTACATATGCACACAAAATCCTTTGCCCTTCAGAGGAAGGCTTGGCTACACCAGCGGAAGGTGGAAGGCGGTAGAGCTGAGGTCGGCAGACTTCATGGAGATGCCCAACCAGCCGATTGGCCAATTTCAAGAAATTCTTCGTGCAGAGCTGAAGAAGGTGAATCAGTTTGCCTGCGCATCCTGGCTACCCTGTCATTGCATCTCATGGCTATCATAGCCAACCTTGCCTCCACGAGCTCTCGACTTTGTCTCCGGGAGTTACGGCTGGATACTGTATACAGTAGAAAAGGTTGTATATAATGTATTATACAGTATACATAATTGGATGGTTAAGGCTCTTTAAGCTGAGCAGGACTTGCACAAGTTCTAAAGTGGTTGAAGAAAGACGCCTGAGCAATGACCACTTTTGCAACGGCATCGAACATTTCCCCACGCCCCACGCAAGAGAATTTGATGTGGGGTGACCGTTAGGTCGATTCAGTGTCGGGCCGGCGCATTTTTGCGTGCTACCTTATCACCTGCCAAGGTGAAGCATGAAGATGTGTTCTTGGGCTTGCGAAGACTGTGTGCATCATGCAAGCGGCTTTCCCCAGAAGTTTCTTGGTGATTGTAGCAGCTTTTCGCTGGTGAAATGATGCCAGTTCATGCCGGTTCTTGGAGCCAGGGCATCGCTACTAGGGGCTCCTGGCACACTCTTACTAGGAATAAGAGGACGCCCATTCAGCGTCCTTGCTCCTAGTAGCGATGCCAGGAGCCCCTAGTAGCGTCC